TATCATGATAGGCCATTCGTAAAATGTTTGTTTATAAAAAAATTCTTTTCTACTATGGTAAGTTAAAAAAAAAATTTGACTATTTGTTACCATGATAGTTCTTTTTTCTCCCATGGTAAGGATTTAATGATATAAAAATGATTTATTAAACTAATAATTTACAAAAAATTTAGGTTCATAAATTTATAGTGTTACGTTCGTCATTTCTTTTAAAGTCTTATTTTCTTTTCTACAACACCATTATATTGAACTCTAGAAAACAAGGAGGAATTACTTCATAGATAACTCCCTCTTTTTCATAAATATATTTAATAAAACATATTCTCATTCTTTGTCCGATCTTACTCTCTTAGTCTTTTTATTTAATTGATTTTCAATTTGTATTTTATACAAAAGAAATTTTTCAAAAGTCCCATCTTATTTCTCAACAAACATACTTTAGTATATTTTAAAAAATAATCAATAAAAATAATGTAATACCTTTTACCACCTCTGTCCATGGTTATTTCAAATCATCCAAATTAGTGTGTACTAATGAAAGCAACTCATTTCTCTTTGAGAGAAAATGAAGTATTTTACTTTGTTTAGTTTTTGTACACACTTTGCATTTTTCAAAAATGTCATTTTTAATTTGAAAATTTAGGTTAAGGCGACGCGTTCTACTTATATAGCCTTTACTTTCATAATCTAATATAGCATGCCACAAGTTAAAAGATAGTCAATCAAAAAGACAAGCATATAATTAGAAGGTGCACTATTATTTATTTAATCAACATTTAAGATAAACAATCCCTGAGTACAATAAGTCTTTCCCACAAATACATTATTTTTTGGCATCACAATCTAATCAAATTCAAATGACACTTTAGCCCTAACTTTTCCTAGTATATATAGCAACTGAAACCAAGTTCGCTTTAACTCCAAGCACATGCAAAATATCATTTAAAGCCAAAGTCTTTCTAAATATAAGTTTTAAGATCACTTTTTCCTTTCCCTTGAATTTTGGTAGTTCAAGAATCAACAAGGTAAAGCCAATCTTCTTCTTTTATAGGATTATGGGAAGTAAACATATTCTAAAATTAACACAGATGTGCTTGGTAGTCCTAGAGTCAAGAGAATTTGAGAGACCACAGTAGCAATGATGTCACTGTTATCATCTCTCCTTGAACCAAATTTGTATTCTGCTTAGGAGGATTATCACATATTTGGCTCTCCTTTTATTGTGCTGCATTAAACACCATGATTACTGGAAGGGAAATAGTTAAATTAAAAATAATCTCTGGTTAATGTACAATAAAGCGCGGTTACTGCAAGGGAGAAATTTAAATTCGAAATGTGCAAATTGAAGGATTTCTTGGTGAGCATATTTCACAAAATTAATTTTATAATTTTGCAAAAACAAATCAAGTGAAAAGTGCCGGGTGCCACTGTACTTCATGCACGAGGTGGAAAATAAGCTATTTTCAATAGCCATTGCCCTGTACTAACTTTTTTATATGCATATAAGCTCACTTTTTCTTCAAACTCATTTGTTAACTCACTTTCTCTTTTTAGTATATATACATTAGGAGTTCTCATCAAGTAGGCAATGTGAAATTTTTTCTTTTGCCACTAACACAAAACACACAACATACACATACGTGACTAGTGTTTTTTGTGGTGTGCAACTTGCCTTGAACAATTTGAAAATTATTAAAGACATAAGTCTATTATATTTAGACTTTAATAATTAATTAGTAATTTACACATATACCTTCGAATCTAAGTTATCTCACACAAAAAATAAAGAATGGATATTGATAGAGAAGTATGTGGCAGGGCAAAAGCCAACCCACGTTTACGTATGGTTTTAAGACATTAAACCATTTAAGTTTGCACACATATCCCCAACTTGTTCTCCAAGAAACCTTGGGTGATGAGAAGTTGTCAGAAATAGAAGTGATTAATTTAATTAACACACGCATATATAATTGATGATCGAACTTATATATTTACTAAAAAATATGTAGAATGTTGAGTTAATGGGGGTTTTTTTATCAATATAAAATTTATAACAAAATGCATTATTTATAAGATTTATGAATATAGTGAACCTCATTTTTGTATACCATGTGGAATAGTACATCATACATTCATTTAGTTTATTGACCATCCTTTATTTTAATGTATTCAATATGAGATTTCTTGTTTTTTTAGTGATATACTTATAGGCTCAGCATAAAAGTACTGCCAAAATATTGCAACTTGCAAAAGTCAAGTCAATGAAAAACTTGAAAATGATTATTTTGGTATCTTTGTTTAGTTGGGTGGTTAACACTTCACAATTAGGATTACAATAAAATTTTTAAAAACTAATTAAATTAATCAACTTGTGGAGACAATTGCTGAGACAGACATGTAAACGACGATTAGGGTTTTTAATTTATCATATATATTAAAAAATTGAATCAGTTGATAAAAGAAGGTGATGTATTTTAGTAAAATTGTATATGATGACATAATCAGTAGTATTGGTCCAAATCTGAGCATTATGAGAGTTAAATGGGTCGTTGTCAACACTTTTTTTTTTTTTGGCCGATGTCCTCTCAACATGATCATATTATTTCTAATTTTAATGTCAAATTTGCTTAAATATATCTTCTTATCGGATCGATGGGTACCGAATTAAAGAAGTAATTAAACTGTGCGTTCTTAGATATCGCTTGCTTTCGGGACGAAGACCTTTTTAAAAATGTCAATATTAAAAGTTTGATTCTTTTCATGCTGAAAACATAATCATCGGTTTCTATAAAATTTTTTTTAGTGTTTTCAACCTTTAAAATTTCAATAAAATTGAGTAACGTTTGTTATTTAAATATTTACAATTTAAGTGTTGTCAGTAGTTTAAATTCTTATAAGAATTAAAAATACTAAAAAAATTATAAGAATTAAAAACAAAATTCAACAAAATTATAGGTGCTGATGATTATGTTTTTTTTATAATACTGATTAATTTATTAACATTAATCTTTCATTAAATTTAACAATAAAAAAATCATTTCACGTCTCAAAACGTCAAGTCTTGCCCTATTACCTTTCTCTTTTTAACTACTCTAGCTTTAAGAACAAGCTCTAGGGTTTTGGGATAACAAAAATCTTAACTTTGACCTGATGAAACATATTAATAATAAGGACTAGTTTATTCTTGGCGCATTCTATTATGGTTTCTATTTTTGCCACAAAACTAGATCATTACACATGAAATTTAATAACAATACATTAATTAATATATTAATATCAATATCGATGGTATATTTATATTGATCGTTGTGATCAACTTGTGATAGCAACATAAATGTTTTTTACCGGTTAAAAAATGGTCAGGCCAATTGAGAATGTTGATTGCATCGTAATTTTTCTAATTTCTAAATAAAAAGCTGTCATAATTTAATTAGTTCGTGAGTTTGAGGTATGGCGAATTACGTTTCACTCTTCTTGGTCAATGATAATCTTTGTTAGAAAATTAATTTACTACCAATGGAAGACTATTCACGCTAAGTGTGGATATTATAGAAAATATTGGATGTGCCTTCCATATCAAAAAAATGGCTCTTAGTTTTTAAACTAGAAAACTAGAGGCTTCAGCTTCAGCTATAAGCATGGCAATAAAATGATGTTCACCAAACATTTTTAAAAAAATTTAAAAAGCATGGAAAAATGAAATAACTGAATTATACTTGAAAATTGATTCAAACTTTTTTTTTTGGTAATGCCATTAAATACTGTTCGTTCATTGGATCATGGCTAGATAAATTAAAATTGGAATCAAATGTAATCTCATATGCATGGCATGTTCATCTTTTTCCTTTCTCTAAGAACATGATCGATGACATGTTGTGTTGTTGTTATAATGTGGCATGCTCATTTAGACTGTTCACGTGCATGTAGGGTCAATTTGGGCTTAACTTCAACCAAACGTCTTAACTTTGTTGTAGGTATCTAAAGTGGGATTGATCAACCTATGCCCTATAATGGAAGTAAAAATAAAAGTGAGATAATAAATATGTTTGGTATGGTAATTAAAGAGAGATAAAAGAATTATTTAAGTGAGAGGGATGTAATTAAGTTTTTATAGGAAAATGATGAAGTTGAGTTCATAATTTTTGGTAAAATTGAGTTCCCTAAAGAATTGGGTTCTCATATACCAAACAAGTAAATTTTAGAGTTCCGCTTCTTTGGTCCCTAATCTAATGTGCGAAATGAGGTCTAGTTATTGGACTAGTTGAAATTAAACATCTTGAGCTTATTTTTATTAGGATAAAATTTAATATTAAATATTTTATTCTCTTGATCCCAACTAGTTTTTTTTTATTTAATTGGCATCCTGGAAAAAAACTTGAGTATTACATCACCTTCCACCCAAATTGATTCGAATCATGGGACCATTATTATTAATTACTATCTCAAGAGTATTATGGGAATGTCTTTAATATATTTATTATTTAACGCGATTGCATATATTTTTCTTGAACTCAAGACTCCTAAACAAATTAATTTAACTTTTTCGATCAGTTGAGCAAGCACCTTTCAATTGATTTAACTAGTTATATATATTCAATAAAAAGATACTTAAATTTTTATGAATATGCACTGAAAATTTTTATACACACAGAAAATTTCTAATATATGATATAATAACATTTATATTATGATAAATTAATGATAATTATTTTTATCTAAAGTACAAAAGAGACTTCTTATATGAATAATAACCTTATTATTTTTTCTTTTCTGTTTCGTCTATACTTACCAAGTTATTATTTTATCACTTCTACATTGATTGTGAAGTTTGTAAGATATATATATATATATATATATATATATCCAACCCTAGTTTTCAAAGCTTGATTACACATTGGTTAATTAACCTCTTGTTCTCCCCATGATAAAGGTGTGTATTATTCTTTCTATAAAAATTATATTGCATAGCTAGCTTGAGCTTCCATAGAAGATACAGATCAATGACAAAGCCACACGCACTTTTTCCAAGTTCGTCGTCGTCGTCATCTAACTTAGGGATCGATCAGAGAGTAGGCTCGAACATGATCATCTCAAAACTCAAGCCAAAGATCAGAGTTATTCATGTTGATGCACCGAGAATCATACAAACCGATGCTGCGAATTTCAGAGATCTTGTTCAGAGATTGACTGGAAAACCAGAAGATGATGATGATGATGATAGAAGGAGGAGGAGGATTCCACCAAACACCAAAGATCTGACGGAAAACGAAGAAGAAGAAGACGACTTTCTGGGTCTGCGAAATATGAAAAGGATCAAGCATGAAGGCGAAGAAGAAGATCATGATGAGATATCGAGAACAAGGTCAAAGTCAAAGTCCAGGTTGAGTGGTTTCTTTGATCATGGCTTCTCAGAATTGGATGGTTTCATCGAACAGTTAAGTACTATGGACTAATTAAGGCCCTTCTTTTACTGTATTATTATCATCTTTCTGTGATCTTCTTGGTCTGTAAATATATGTTTGTATGTATATATATACAATATCTTATATCACAAATAATAATTCGTACAGTTTCTTTTTGATCCAGTGGCTGTGCTTTTGACTTTAATTGTCTCCTTTTGAAGTTAAGGTATTGTTACAATTATAAGTATATACAAGCCCATATATCGTTGATCTTAAAAGTATAAACTTCATAACAATAAATTAAAGTCATGCATCAAATTTTTTTAATCCCTCGGCCAAAATCACACGCTTGAACAAAAAAGGCTAGAGGCTCATGATTTTGGATAATATGTCTCAAATCCTCTCGTCCATGAGTGAGTGTTCCACGTAGCATTATAGAGATCATCGATTCAATAATCGAACGGCTGCTAGAGATATAAGCACAAAATACATATAAAACATCAAATCACAGCTCAATTTTTTGCGTGTGCTCTATATCCTAATACAACTATTCATATAATTACAGAAAAATGCTTAAAATGTATCCTCATATTTATTTTTGGTTAAGCATGAATTTTCAATCGTTGATGAAATCCTACAATTACAATGTGGATACTCACTAGGCAAGAGGATGGGCAACACTCATAGCTAATCCAGATTCCATAATTTTGTCCCAATATCCAAAGCTTGCATGAATTCACCTTTTGCTTGTTTATTTTTTCTTTTTACTTTTCCATTATTCCTTTATTCAAATCCTATTAGAAATTTAATATTTCTTTCTTTCTTTTTTTTTGTGAATATAAGTATACCCTTTTTTATCTTCCGGGATACTAAGGGTAGTAAACCCTATCAAATAAGCCGGGACATCTACATAAGCTGTGATTCAAACACTCAGTTATTCACTTAAGTATATAATAAGAGCTTCTACCACTCACACTTTAGTTAAAAGTTAAATATTTTTAAAAATGATAAGTAATGAAAATGGTTTTCCCTCCTTGTATTCTGTCACGAGTTTACATCGGGAGTCTCATAAGTATTGTGGGGTTTATAAGTTGAGGCTCTCCCACCCAACAGGCTAGTCTTTTGGATGAGCTTTCCTTTTGGACTTATACTCGTCACATTTGGGACTTGTGACAATATCATCCCGTCAAGAGCTGATGTCCCCGGTGGCTTCACTCCATGGCATTTTACTCGGCCTTCTGTCGGTTGAAACCCTTCGTGGATAGCCCTTTTTATGACACTAGTCTCTTAATAAAAGCACCAATTTGATGAGCATAAGTTTAAAAGAGAGCTCATCCAAAAGACTAGCTGTTGGGTGGGAGAGCCCTTCACATTAAAAAATTTCATAATATTTGTGAGGCTTCTCGATGTGGGACTCATGACATATTCCATACAAAATACGATCGATATTTAGTTTTTGCTTATAAATATAAGGAAAGATTTGAATTTCAAAATTCTCACCTCTTAACATAAGTGGAACGTGCATAGCAATGAAAGAAATTATTTAACTTTTACTCTCAATAATAATAATTTGAATAAGAGATCTGTGCTAGTATACATTGACATGAAGATAAGAAAAATATTTAGTTATACAATTGTTTCCCTCTTTATTACACAGCTTCATTCATGAAAGTAATTTTTCAAAACCATGAGGATCTCTTTGAACGAGGGAGTAAAGCTTCTCTCAGGATGCCTTAGGGATAAATTTAATCTAAACTCAATTGCAATTATGATTTTCAAAAAAAAAAAAATAATGTAATACACTGCTCTTCCTCCATTTTCATATATAAAGAGAAAATAATGATTCACACAATTTGAGAAAGTTAGTTAAGTATAATAATTATGTCAAGAATTAAAAAATTTTGATTAAATTATTTCTATAATTAATGAAACAAATTTATCTAATGAAAATAAACATTGACTGTATGAGCAGCAATTTGAAAAAAAATGTAATAAATACTTCTTAAAATTTATAATTTTGCTTATAAATAAAAAAGACACATCATAATTCCTCTTTTATTCAAAAATGGATGGAGTATATACATACATGTGAGTGTATATATACACTTTTTGATCCTCTAGTTCTATTTATAAGGGAAAGAGGAATTGTTTTGGGTCTTGTTTACAAAGCATATGATTGACTTTTTATTATAAGTTTTTCCTTTTAACTTCATTAAATATGGGTGAGAAAAAATAAGTTGTTGAAATATTTATATTTAATAGAAATAAAATTTAAAACTTTATCAAAATTTTAGAGAAAGTTAATAAATTTTAATGTTTTTCTAAATTTTAGTTAAATATGTTGAAAGTAACTTATACTCTTTTGTCCATGTTTTCTAGAAGTTTATTTTGTTCTTAAATGTAAAGGATGTTAATAATATTTTTGAGTAATGAAACAATTTGTGCTTGTGTCTTGAAAACAGAGGATATATTAATTATGTACTTTACCCTCTACCATCATAGTATTAATTTTAACATTATTAAGGGTAAAACTAAAAAATTATTGTGATTTTATAAAATTTCAATTAAATAACAAACCTTTATTATTATATAGGATTAATTTAAAATACTTCATATATTATTAAGTAGTAAACACACACTCACTTTGTCTAAATTTATAAGGTGTATGTTTTTCTTTCTGGTAAAGTTACGCATACAAATCAAGTTCATTAAAAATAGTTTATAATTTTACTTTTTTTTTTATAAATTTCTCAAAATATTTTTCGAGAAAGGAAAAAAATATGCTTCTTTTAATTCTTATTATAAGATGCTTTCTAAAAAAAAATTAGCTTTATTTAAATTAATTAACTATAAGAGATAAAATATAATGCAAATTTTAATTTTTTATTTAAATAAAAATAAAAATAAATATTAATTCTATTTTCAATTTTTATTTAAAATTAATAATATAACTATATTTTTTTTGATTTTGATGAAATACTTAATTATGTCTTACAATAAAGAACATAAAATAATATTAGCACTCCATTTCAGCCACGTGAGGTTGTAGTATTGAACTTTTGATTTGACCCACCGATACTGGAAAGGTCAGGAATAGGATGCGATGCTTAGGTGTGCCGCGCGGCGCCCGCGCCTCCAACCTAACCTTCTTTCGTTATCGCAGACATTTTAGAAATTTAATTGCAATTGCAATTTCAAATCCGAAACATCAGCTGTCTTTGTATTCATCATTCCACAGTTAAAACCAACATTCAAATCAATAACATAGTACTTAACTAATTAAATAAAAATTAACTACATGTAACCAATAACACTTGAGTTTAGTGAAAAAAACTAGTTTCTCAAATCAGGAAAAATTTTCAATAAGGTAAGATTAAATATTCATCTTTATATACTTACTTAATGTTCTTTTATTAAATTAAATTAAGACAAATGAATTTTAATATATTAATAATATTAATAACATGATTATTTATTGAGTAAATAATTTATAATAGATTTACATATTTTGATTTAATTGAAAATAAATATATTAAATATATAAAACTAAGTATTTAAGTTTTTCCAAACAAATATCAGTAATAATTGACTTGCTGATCAAAATCATTGTATGAATGCTAATTACATAGGATTTTAATTACTACTAAAATTGGATGCAAACATATTTTGCCTCCTAATTTATCCTAATTAATTTTTTTTTTTTGCATTCCGACAAGAATTGTGTCGTGTCCTCAGCCTTATATAGAACATAACATCGTCATTATTTACAAATATTTAAAAAATTATTTAGGACAAATCTTAGCCAAAAGATAAATTACAACATGATTTTTTTTACTTAAAATTCTTCACTGTTACTAAGTTATTTATGCAACCATTGTCTCTTAGGTTAATTTTAATAGAATAATGTTTGAGGATCAAGGACAATATTATTAAGTGTCATTATTTTGTTATAAGCTATTTTGGCCAAAAAAATAATTTGGTTATAAACTATAACTTACTATTAGAATTTCAATATTTTTAAGCATCATTATTTTATTAATATATTATTGTTATTATAACTGTCCCATTTCTTTATGTGGTCAAAAATACTTTTATTACCTTTTTCTTGTTCATATAGTGAAGATTTGACTTCTTTACATTTAAATATATTTTAATTTGATATTAATTGTAATATTATTAAACGCAAAGCTGAAAAATATATTTTAATTTAATGAAGTGCTGAGAAAAGAAAATAAATTAAATAAATGCGTATATATATTCATATGTATGTATTTAAATTTTAGTGATTATGTGATTGTTTGTAATTGTGTATATACGTATATTAATTAACAAATTCACCTAGAGTCGTAGTCCTAATCCTAATTAAATTAATTACTTTTCCTTTGAGCCCAAAAGGGAAAATAAAAAAAAATGAAAATAAACCCCGCTTTTTGGGTCAGAAGAATGAACCCGGCGTGTTTCTTACAAATCAGAGTCTCAGCGTCGAATAATCACTTTCTGTTTTGAAAAGCGCTCGCCTCACACGCTCTTTCCGTCCTCTTCATTCTGAGAGTCGTAGCTGATCCCACATCTTTCGCACTTGTTACTTCTCCAACTTTTACTCCGTATGTTTTTCCTTTTTAATTTTCTTCTACTTTGAATTCTAATTTTCGTTCAAACCCCATACTATTTTCCATTCCCAGAATCCTGGTATATGCTGCTTATTTTTCGCTGATTTCATCTTTCATTCTCATTTATCAGTCTTCGATCACTTTTCGCCATTCCAGTTATCATTTTCTTTCGGGTCGGTATATGATCTGATTTCTTGCTCATTGAAGCTTTCGTTTCAAAAGAACTATGAAGTTTTTGTTGCATCCGTGATCTGTTATCATTTTTCTTATTGTTGAGCTGAACTTCTTGTTATATGCTCTTCTATATTGTTTGCCTCTGCTTTGTTAATGCTCAGAGTTGTTGTAGGTTATTGGGACAATAGATGGCTTTCTTCAGAAGTATTTCTGCACTTTCTAAGCTTCGCTCCCGCGTGGTGAGTGTGAAGGGGAAAATCCTTGAAA